AGGAGCTGGCCGACGAGATGGCCTGCGTGCGCGGGCTGTAGGCGCCGGGACGGGGGCGTCACCTCGGGAAAGGGGGGGCTGCCCCAGGAAAAGGAGGGGTTTGCCTCAGAAAGGAAAAAAAAAAAAAAAAAAAGGTTTTTCCTCGAAGAAAAGTTTTTCCTCAAAAGAAGGGTTTTCCTCAAGAAGAACAGGAGGGGTTTTCCTCAAAAAAAAAAAAAAAGGAGCGTTTTACCTCAAAAAAAAGATGGCTTTTTTCCTAAAAACGCCTTTTTCCTAAAAAAAAAAGGGAGGGTTTTTCATTAAAAAAGGGAGGAGTTTTCCTCAAAAAAAAAAAAGGGAAGGTTTTTTCCTAAAAAAAAGGTTTTCCTCAAGAAGAACAGGAGGGGTTTTCCTCAAAAAAAAAAAAAAAGGAGCGTTTTACCTCAAAAAAAAGATGGCTTTTTTCCTAAAAACGCCTTTTTCCTAAAAAAAAAAGGGAGGGTTTTTCATTAAAAAAGGGAGGAGTTTTCCTCAAAAAAAAAAAAGGGAAGGTTTTTTCCTAAAAAAAAAGAGGGGTTTTCCTAAAAAAAAAAAAAGAGGGGTTTTCCTAAAAAAAGTTCTTCCTAAAAAAAAAAGTTTCCTCAAAAAAGGGGGAGGGTTTTTCCTCAAAAGGGGAGGGGTTTTCCTCAAAAAAAGGGGAGGTTTTTCCTAAAAAAATAAAAGAGGGTTTTCCTAAAAAAGAAGAGAGGGGTTTCCCTAAAAAAATTTCTTCCTAAAAAAAAAAAGGAAGTTTCCTCAAAAAGGGGAGGATTTTTCCTCAAGAAAAGGGGTTTTACCTCTAAAAAAGAAGGGGGTTATTTCCAAAATAAGAGGGGTTTACATCCAAAAAAAGGGAGGGGTTTTCCTCAAAAAAAGGGAACGTTTTATCTCCAAAGACAGGGGAGTTTTACCTCAAAAACGGGAGGGGTTTTCCTCAAAAAAAGGATGAATTTTTCCTCAGGAAAAGGAGGGGTTTATCTCTAAAAAAGGAGGGGTTTATATCCAAAAAAAGGGAGGGGTTTCCCTCAAAAAGAAGAGCCGTTTTCCTCAAAAAAAAGGAATACTTCACCTCAAAAAAAGGGGAGAGGTTTTCCTTCAAAAAAAAAACAAAACGGGGGGTTTCCTAAAAATAATTAAAAAAATATTTTCCTCAAAACAGGAGTGTTTCTCCTAAAAAAAACAGTTTTGTCCTCAAAGAAAGGGTTTTTACTCCAAAAAGAAGGGGTCTTACCCTCAAAAAAAGGAGTTTCACCTCGGGGGGGGGGTGTCCTCAAAACAGGGTTTTTCCTCAAAAAAAGGGAGACTTACCTCATGGAGGGGGGTTTTACCTCAGGAAAAAGGATTTTTTACCTTAGAAAAAGTAAATGTTACCTCATGGAGAAGGTTTTTACTGCAGGGAAGAGGATTTTTTTGTTTGGTTTTTTTACATTAGGGAGGGGGATTTTACCTCAGGAAAGGTAAATTTTACTTCACAGAAGAGGGTTTTACTTCAGGAAAGTGGATTTTACCCTCAGAAAAGGGGATTTTACCTCAAGAAAGGTAGATTTTTACCTCACAGAAGTGTGTTTTACTTCAAGAAAGGGGATTTTTACCTCAGGAAAGGTAAATTTTACCTCACGGAGAAGATTTTTACTGCAGGAAAGGTAAATTTTACCTCACAGAAGAGGGGTTTTTACTTTAGGAAAGGGGACTTTAACTTCAGAAAAGGTATTTTACCTCAAGAAAGGTAGAGTTTACCTCACAGAAGAGGCTTTTACCTCACAGAAGAGGATTTAACTTCAGGAAAGGGGATTTTACCTCAGGAAAGTTAAATTTTACCTCACAGAAGAGGGTTTAACTACAGGAAAGGGGATTTTACCTCACAGAAGAGATTTTTACCTCGGGGGGGGGGAGCTCCGCAGAGGAACCAACGGTCGCCGCCTCGCCCCGCTGCCATCACCTGCCCGGCGCCTCGCCCGTCCCCGCCCGCCCATTGGCGGAGA